CGGCGGGCCGGCGCTCGGACTGCAGTCTTTCTCCTGGCTGGTGAAATGAGGAGAAGGGTGTTTGGGGGATTTTTCCTTCCTTTGCTGATGTAATGTGAGGACTATTTCTGAAAGTTCCGGGAAGGGGTGTCTGTGTTGAAGGGGCTTTTGATGTTTTCCTACAGTGAGGATTGCCGTAGGAATGTGGCAGTTTTTGATGGAAACATTTTTCTACCATTATTGTTTCTGAAAGTCGTTTTTTCTTTTTTATTGCCAGCCTTCTAGTCCCTCATCTATGTATTTATTTGTTCTGCTTCATCACTTTTCGTCTTTGCTTCTGAAGTTATACACAGTACTGCCCCAAACCCATTTCTTTTTATTCTTCTTCCTCTCTGTGCTTCTGCAATTCTGCTAAACTTATTTCTGTCATTTCCTTTTGCTGATTTTTGCTTGGTGGCTGTTGTTATGCTTTCCTCATTACTATTAAATGTTCTGTTACCTTTCTTTCCTTCCTTTCCTAAAATCCAGCTGTTCAGAATAAGCCAGAGGAGATAGACTGCGTCATTAACCTTGGTGTTTTGCTACCAGTGAAAGCTGAAAAAGCAAACCCTGGTTTCTTCCAAAAAGTAGTGAGCAGTACTCTTTTTTTTGGAGCTGTAAATCTGAATTGCTATTTATTTTTGCCTGATTGGAAGTAAATTATATGTGGAGATGATAATAAAGAAATTTACCTGGAACTATATTATCTTCTCCCATATAGTTAAAGAAATGGGACTGATTCTGAATAATTACTCTGCTAGAAGAGGAAAAGTTATACTCAGGCTAGTTTAATTATTTTGGTTTAGGAGGAGTTTTATTAATATACTGAGCATGTTCTCTCTTTTTCTGATGTCTTTTCTCTCTCTTTTCTCTGATTATGTAATCATACATAATAATGTCTCTTTTCTCTGATTATGTTAGGAAACAAAGCAGTGTACTGTGCAGTGAGATTGCAGGTCATAAGTGGGGTATTGCTGTAATACGTTGAAGCCCTTTCTCTTCGGTCCGCAGACAGAATAATATCTAGCATTAAAACTTGGGAATGTTCGTGGATTCTTCCACCATTTATAGCACTTACCCATCCTCAGTTTCATGATGAAAACTTTAATTGCTGTAAAGAATTTGGAGAAAATACAATATGCCTCACTGTTAACATTTGCTTTATGATTGTAAGTAACAAGTTCAATAGAGGTGACTGTAGCTATACAGAATGGAGAGGCGACTAAATGTTTATTGACAATATTTTTACTGAAGGAATGTGGTGCTGCAGGTGACCCAATGCCATCGATTTTTTTTCAGGACTTCTGATGGTGGAAAGACAGTTGGTACCATTGAAGTCAGTCTTGTGAAGATGGGAGAGCTAGAGGATGGGGAAACGGACCACATTGCAACAGATGCCCAGGATCAAAAGGTATAAACTCAGTTCATTGCACAAGTTAATTACAATGATCAGCTGCACCAAATGCCTAAATTACTAATTCCAAATTGAGTTAAGGACTTAATCAAAAGTTTCTGGAATAAAGTAGTATGTACATTTAATCTCCCTAAACTAAAAATAGTTATTCATAAAAATGTACAGGGTAATACTCTATCCTCAGTTTCCTAGTCCCTCCCCTTCTTTAGGAAAAAAAAGAGCTGATTTTGACCTCAACTGATCATATTTAATCACTTCTGATCAAAAAACTGTCCATAGAGATGCCATAAACCTGACTTCTTTTTCCCTTGGACAGTTCCTCTGTTTTCTGCCCTTGAAGTCCTGTTCACGTGGATTTTTATGTGCAACCTGTGCCCACAATACTGAAAAACTGGAAAGAATGACAGACAGGCAAGCCAAAGAAGAGGTGAATCCCCTTGCGAAGGGGCAGGTTCAGCTGCATTTCATGGGAGCACACAGTGGTGGGGAAAATCAGCGGGAGGGATGGTGCAGCAATGGTGCCTTCAGAGGGCTAGCACAGAGCAGCATTGACCAGAGGATGTATATAGGGATGCTGAGTTGGGGTGCTCATGGTGGTGGGACAAGAGGAAGGACAGAAGGGCTTGGAAGGGGCAAAAATGCTCTTAAGTAGGCAGGCTGTTGCAGGCAAAAGGGCTGGAGACTGGAGCTGGAGGTGGTATGGGGGGAGTGGATCTGAGAGGAATGGAGAACCAAAGGAGGGAGGGTGGAACAGATGGTCTGTCTCTATGATGACAAGAGGTTTGGGCTTGGCAGAGATTCAGAAATGACTCCTGAGAATGAGGAAATCAGGGTTTGAATGACTTGCAGTTAATAAAAAGGTCTCTCTAACTGGGTCCCCCTTACTGATGGCAACTGGCGTACCTGTACAGAGTTACCCCCTGCTATCCCTGCCTCTGCAGGCCCATTGTCACTGACAGAATTTTTGCAGCCCTAATGCTATCGTATACTGCTGTACACTATGGTGTATTCTGTTCTTTATGAAAAAAAACCAAACACAATAACTTTAGATAATGCTACAGGGAATGTAAAATTAAGGACAGCGTTTTTTTGTTTAGAACTAACATATAAGAATGTATTTTTGGAGAGAAGGGCATTTTTCTGCATATCTTTTCTGCTCAGCCAAAACAGGCTGCTTTTGGGGCAATCTCTGAGGGTAGATTTTACACTTCTCTTTTCACCATTCTTCTGAAAGGACCTCAACGCCCCTTTAGAACAATAGACCAGTTCCAAAGAAGCCAACAAATGCTGTTAAATCTTTCTGCTTTTGTGCTATAAAACTTCCACAAGATATGCAACATAAGATATTTTTTCAGCCTTCTCTTTCATTTATGTTTTCTTCCATTTCAAAATGTGGAATGAGACTTCTCATAATTATTTGAGATGTAATTAATGAGTTGTGCCTAGCTTGAGGGAACCAGAAGGCTTTAATAGCATCTTTCTGGGGGGTTCTAATACTTGTCAAGAAAGACCAACTTTGTGACAGCTGTATTTTCTATGGTCTTTAAAGGAGTCCTTAGCTTTTATGGATTAGTTGCATCATGGTGTCTTAATTAATATGTTCATATCGAGGATGCAATTGTGAGAATGTAGAGTTACTGAATTACTTCAAAGAAGTAAGTTCTGAATTAGGTTTGCTAACTCATTAGATAGATAAACTATGTGCAGGGAGTTGCGCATGGAAGAGTAAGGTGATAGTTAAATACAATCTGAGATACCAACTGGTAGAGAGTACGTCGTATCTTGCTCTTTGCTTCAAGCTCTGCAACAGAACACCTATAAACTGGGGAAGCCCTGGGAACAGAGCTCCCTATCACCTTTAGAGCTATCTATTTGGGTTTTTTTTCTGACTGGGGAAGGAGGAGCATTAAAAATATACATCCTAATAAATTTAGCATAGGTTCACATCAGTTGATTTTTCCATAAACTTTTTATACGTTTATTTTATATACTAATCTTATCGAAGAAATCTTCCGATTCATTTGTATAATAAATGACTTTAATCACAAACAGTGAGCACATTTTAAAGACTTCTTGTGGTTCCTACTTTTCCCTTCTTTAAAAATTTATGGAGTGCTTTCTGACACTGCATGTAAATACTGCCTTGTCAGAAGAAACCTTTCTGAAAGCACAGAACTTGTCAAAAATTATTTTAACCTCTGCCATTGTATTGGTAGGAAACCTGTTTTATTGTGGGATAGGTGATCATATTTTGCCATTTTCTCTGCTATAATTCTGATTGTGTTGCAGTATATTGGAACAGAAATACAAAGATAAAAATATAAATTATAATTAAGGGTTGGGATGTTATATTATCATTGACGTTTTTCAGTCTGCCATTTATAAACTGCTATGAATTTCCTTGTAACACCTGAATGCATTACATTTGTGGTTGCATTTCTTTTGTAGTGTGCACTGGTTCGTGAATGTACAGCCACTGAAGGCATAAGTGGTAAAGACAACTTGCCTTCATTAAATGCAGGTAAGTATTCTAACATCCGTAAAAGATGACTGTTGCAATGCTATATCAGATCATGAAGAAATTGCAAAGATTTGAGGCAGAACTCTTAAAAGGCTTTTCAAATGATGCACAATTTTTTAAGTTTAATATTTTAATGTTTTATACATATTTGACAGTATCATTTTGTTGAGAAATGTGAGGAAAACTTCCAGAAATGTCTATTATGCTTTCTGAAACACTGCTAAAATCTTCCACTCCTACATCTTTACTGTTCAATGTTTTTCAAGACTGTCAGTGACTTCAGTGGGCATGGAATTAACCTCAATAAGTTTTTGTCATGTCATTGCATTACATTCTGTTAAAGTAATTATGCATTGTTTGCAACTGAACACCCTGGAGAATTAATCTCTCTCATAGCTGAAAAAGTGGCCATTTCAGTTTGATCTGAAAGCTATATGTCCTAAAATGAAGGAAGCTGTTGGCAAGGCATTCTCAATTCTAGGTCAACTCTGGGCTTGAGTCTACAGTGTTGAATAGATCTATTTCTCTTTCATTATACTGAGAAATATTACATGCTGATGTGCTGCACCATAAAAGTTTTATTAGCCCAAGTTTATGAATCTCCATTACTTTGCTGTAACCATGTCACAGATAAGTTATATGGGTCATCTGAAACCACAGTGCTGTCAAGAATTCTGTGTATTTGCTGCATACAGTTGAAGAGAAATGTTACTGAAGTTTTGAAAAACCTCTTAAAACCTTTACTGAAACTTTTTCATATGACTTCACTGATAGGACAGGAGACTTACTAGACTAGCTTTGCAGTCTGAAGGAGGCACTAGAAACCTCCAAAAAATAGTTTTTTCCATGTATGAATGTTGTAATTTTTTTTCTGTGATTTGTTGAGACTACAACAGAAGAAGGGAAAAATGTTTTCTTCAGAACTGCCATTTCTTTTCATTGGTTCAATGTGAGACTAGATGTGTTTGTGGAAAAGATATTGAGAACTACTAAATACACAGGAACCACATCTGGCTCCAGAAATTCCTGAATTGAAAATAGCTAGAGGCATGGAGAGTATCTTACATCTCTAGGTGTCTATTTGTGTCTCTTCTTGGAGACAAGATAACAGAGCCCCTTGAATGATTTGGTCTAATTCAGTGCAGCCATTCCTTGATTCTGATTTTGTATGTCATCCAGATAAGTGAGTCTTAAAGAAATTACATTCCTGTTCAGAGAAAAATAATACTGATTCATAGCTGATTTTTTTTTTTCTTTTCCAATTTGCTGCCTCTGCTGAGTGGGTTTGATTGGGAGTTTTTGTTGGCTTTTTTTGGATGGGGAAATGCTGTAGTTTGGGGAATGTACTTTGTTGGAACTGTTAGGACTTCCAAGGTAGATGTCAGTTTTATGAATAATGAAGTTTAGAACACTTTGTCATGAGAATTTGCACATGATTCTACGGTATACCTAGACAGTGCTTAACACTTCTACCTTTATTGCTTTCATATACAAACATGCAACATAAAACCGCAACCTCCATCCTACCCAACATTGCAAGGGTTTATAAAATCAAACATAACATGGAGGCTTTTTGTCATTTTTTGGTTTTTTTTAAAAGAGTTGAGGGGAAAGAGCAGAACTGCAGATGCATATACAAGAAATGACAGCAGGCAGGATATTGGAAAGAGTTTTCAGTCACAGGAAGTTTGTTCTAATAAATACTTATACTTCATTCTGTTTTCCTGTACTTGTGACTTCCTCTTCACATCCCAGCATTGCCTCCACTTCCCTGTGGACACCTGGCACCAGTTCCAGGTTTTGTCAATCCCACTGTTTTTATTGAATTCTCAATTTCTTTCCTTAGAAAATTTTAGCTCTCCTTTTATACTCTCAGCCTCTTTGCCCAACCAGTAAGACTTCTTCCCCAGAATGTCTCCATGACTAGGCGTCATGTGACTCAAAGCTCTCTGTGTTGGCTGGAGACTGGCTTTCTCATATGGGTGCCAGTGCTGCCCTTAAGCATATTGTACCATGCACGAGCTCTGCCCAAAAAAGTATTCATCCACCTCGTGCAAATGCCATGTGCGCAGCTCTATTCGTATTAGAAGCTAGGAAGGACGCAAGAATTTTCAATAAAGGTAGACCCTTGGTGCATGTATGATGTGTTAAGCTCAGGTTTTGAGCTTTTACATACTGAGATTTCTTTCCCAAGGCTTATGTTGTTGTCAGATCTGTGTGGATTGCCATGGATATGGTAAAACGCACATCTCTGTAAAAGATTTACTTTCAGAATTCAAGTTTATAAAGCACAGAACTTTCTATTGCAGATTTCTGGCCTCATTCTGTGCAGCTGGACCATCTTAACTGAAAATTTAAAAAAAAAAATCAGTTTAAGCCAGACAAATTTCAGTGCGGCAAAATTAGAGGCAATCAAAAACAAGGACAGAAGGGAAAGTAGAAGTATCAGTAATGTGGCAGAAGATACTATAGACGACTTGATAACACCACCATTGCCTCCACTACTTTCTCTGCTGTGTACATACAGAACTGTCTACAGTACAGTATATATTCCATATACATATATATTTAGTTGTCGAGATTTATCCCCAGCTGGCAGCTAGGCAGCATGCAGCTGCTTGCTCACTGCCCCCACAGTGGGACTGGGGAGAGAATCAGAAGAGTAAAAGTGAAGAAACTTGTGGGTTGAGATAAAGAAAGTTTAATAGGTAAAGCAAAAGCCGTGCACACAAGCAAAGCAAAACAAGGAATCCACTCACCGCTTCCCATAGGCAGGCAGGTGTTCAGCCATCTCCAGAACAGAAGGGCTCCATCACATGTAATGGTTACTTGTTAAGACAAACGCCATAACTCCAAACGTACCCCACAGGGTAACAAATACTGCCAGTAAACCTGCTCCAGCGTGTGCTCCTCTCTCTCCACGGGTCCACAGGTCCTGCCAGGAACCTGCTCCAGTGTGGGCTTCCCATGGGGTCACAGCCTCCTTTGGGCATCCCCCTGACAGGCTGCAGGTGGAGATCTGCTCCACCATGGAGCTCCATGGACTGCAGGGGAGCAGCCTGCCTCACCATGGTCTTCACCACAGGCTGCAGGGGAATCTCTGCTCCAGCACCTGGAGCACCTCCTGCCTCCTTCTTCACTGACCTTGGTGTCTGCAGAGCTGTTCCTCTCACATATTCTCAATTCTCTCTCCAGCTGCGATTGCTGTGGCATTTTTTCCCCCTTCTTAATTATGTTATCCCCGAGGCACTACCACTGTCGCTCATGGGCTTGTCCTTGGCCAGCAGTAGGTCCATCCTGGAGCCAGCTGGCATTGGCTGTATTGGACAGAGGGGAAGCTTCTAGCAACTTCTCACAGAAGCCACCCCTGCAGCCCCCCCACTACCAAAACCTTGCCACGCAAACCCTATACATTAATACATGTGAATACTGTTGTAAGGATTTCTGGTTCTTTCTGTCTTATGCTGTTTATCAGGCCTTCAAACCTATGAAACTGAAAAAATACCCCTATGTGAATCTTTAAGCCTGTAGGCATAGATGCACATTGGCATTCTTTTGAAATTTAAATCTTAATATAAGGAGCTCACAGCCCTAAAGTGAGTTATGAGGCACTTACTGAGTTGAGTGGGAATGAGCATCATATTTCACAGAGGCTTATCACTATTCCATTTATACCCCAAGAGACTGAAGCTATAGGTCTCAAAATTCTGTTACTTATTTATAACACTGGAGTGTTTGCCAATTGTTGGCATGTAAACATATCATGCTTTACAATGAAAAAGGGAATAAAAGTAATTGAAATGAAGCAAAAATTAAGAAAGTTAAAATTATTCTTCCTGAGATGATACGCGTAATACACCTGTGCTACAAAGGAAGATATAAATAGAAACACTGTTAGTAAATTAGTATATGATAGCAGTATGTTTTGATCTATGTTCAATAGGGAACAAAAATAAAAACAGAGTATTCAATCTTTTATTAATTTTTATTTTACTTGCAGGGGAAGCAGTGTGAAGGAAATTGCATGGAATAAAAAGCACAGAGGTCTTTAAATTTAAAACAAGAATGTCCAAAAATATGGATGGTTAAATATATGGCATTGGCTTTTGGGCTTCATGCTATAGAGAAAGGCTTTTAAAGTATTTTTTTCCTTTTATTTTAACTACTGCAGTTCATCTGGATTTTTTTTTTCCCCAGTGTCTTTCATGATCACTGTCTAAATGCAGGAAGGATTACCTTTATTAAACTTTCACTCATTTTAATAACTACTTTTTATGAAAACCAAATCGAGTCTTGCCATTCTTACTGTTTGGGTGGTTTTACATGCCTTCTGGATTTCTTTTCTAGACAACTGTTTGTAATTAGAAAGCAATTATTATTGTAGTTGGAAAGGAAAGTACATCTGAGGTTTTTATGGAATAACATGTCTTCAGCAGTTCTATTAATAAGAAAACAAAGTATTGTGCCATTCCTGTTGACAGTCTCAATCTTAAGCAATACTGCAAATGGGAATTATTTGGATTCTTTGTGAAATAAAAATTCCAGGCTTTTTTCTGAGTTTGTAAATGAAATTTTCTTCATAAACCCAGGAGAGATGTTTTGGCCATGTTTTAAAACTTGCGACTTGCGATTATCCCTATCTGAAAATTCAGACGTGGAGGTAGTACCTGAAGACTAGTTTAATAATTCTAACAATGATGAAAGTCACAGCTTTGGATCCACATTTTCAAAGTGATTCCTAGTGTCCTGTTGGTTTTTTTGTTTGGTTTTGTTTTTTTCCTGCGATGGTGGTGTAGATAGTGGGGAGATGGGAGGAAAGAGGTTGTGGAGCTATTTGTGCATTAGGTTCTCACAAGCAAATGTGAATTTTTAAATGTAATAGATTCTGAGTGCCTATTTAAGGGCTGTTCTTGGAAAAACATCCTTTGATAGCTTCTTAGGAAGTAGATAGAAAAAGGTAAAATAGAGAAAAGAGTCTTTTCTGTCATTTGAAATGTCCTGATAAAAAGTATCAGCCTGATTCCTAGTGGTGGCACTGAATAAATTAAAAAAAAAAAAAAAAGCCAAAACCAAAATCCAAGAAAAACACCAACCCAAAATTATTATCTGTTTTGGCAGGTTTCTGTTTAAGGATAGACCTGAATCAGCCCTTAGTTTCTTGAGCTCTCCCTGACATCTGAAGATTGTCATTCCCTGTCTTGTTAATAGAAGATGATCAGTGCCATATGTCTACTTTGTGGATTGACAGATGCTATCAATATTATTGACAAAACTGATTTTGTTAATTAGAAGAATCTCAAGAAAAGAGGAAGAAAATATGAAATCATTACAGCATATTTTAATCAAGTAGTATAATGAAGCCCGGACACAGGATGTAAATTGATCATAGACACAGGACTTGGAGGTGTGGGGTTTTTTTTTTTGTAGTGGAGAATAGTTGAGTCTGTGTGGTGAAGATTCTCAAGCTGTAAAATGTGTGTAAAGATGCTTGAACATCTCTTTGTGTTTTGTATTTTGGGTGTTAGTAGTAAAGAAAAATTGCTGTTATTCACATGCCATGGCTATCAAGCCTCTATTAGGTTTATTTCATAACAGTAAGTCGGAATTTAGTTTTTGTAAGTAAAATCATTAGTAAATAAAAGTAAAATGGCTCTAAAAAGGCTTCCAGTTTCTCATCAAAGATTAATGATTAAAGAGATCTCAGCAGAGTGATGGGAATAGAAAACCATACATCTTCAATTACTTAAAAGATGATTATTTAAAACATTCCTTTATTTAGGAGTTGCCAACAACCAACCATTTTACTACAGAACCTGTGGTCTTGTTTTAGACTTTTCCTGAAGGACTTCGGTTAAAAAACGGTTTGATTAGATAGACAAGACAGTTTGTGTATCTTCAATAACTTGGTCTGTGTTTTTATTCTCTATAAATCAGCCTACGTAGGCAATAATGGTGGCAGTGAGTTGTGAAGCTGAAATTTCTATTAGTAGATGTCATTTTGACAGCAACCGTTTCCTTGCAGTGCACACGGGAAATGCATTCCTTTGAGTTATAGACTGTTCAGTGGCAGAACAATGGGAGCCTGCTCTAAGGCAGCTTTTTCCAGAAGGCTGATAGAAAGGTGCTGTTGGAGGATTTGGGTGGCTATCCAAAGTCATTCTGAGAGGGGTGTGTGTGTGTGTGTGTGTGTGTGTGTGTGTTAAATGACAATCATTTGTCTCCGAGTGAGCTTATGAAAGTAGTCAAACAAAACTTTTCTTTCTCAGTTTTTCCCCTGTTTGCTTCTCCTGGAAAATTAGTTAAGATTAGTTGGGGAAAAAAGGAAAGGAGAGAGTAGAAATTTCCCACCTTTTTTATAGAGCATCACTGTAAGATCTGAATGGAAATGTAGCCAACATGAGAGCTTTAAGATAAAAAAAATGGGGGTTTTAAGCATAACCTTCCAAGGCATCAAGTAACGTGATTTTCCTATGTCAAGTTACAATAGCGATCCGAGAACAGTGCGTGTAACGTATTTACAGGATTGTTATATTTATCTCTATGTAGTGGCAGCCTCTTGACCATGTCAGTGGTCAAGTTGACTCTAAAATGGCATCTTTTTGACCATGTTAGTGGTCAAGTTTCCTTTAATGTAGATGCACACCCTCTATTTGTATTAATGAACTACTGTGTGTGCGTATCATGGAGAAGGTGCATCAGGTATAGCTAAACTCTGAGGCATGCTTCACTTGTCCCATGCAATTTATTAGCAATGTGAGTGATTCTAGCAAATGGTAAGTGATGGCGTTGACTGTATGTGAGTTCGTTGTTTATTTGTGTGTTCTGTTTTTCCTAACTGTATCTTAAGTATAAGAATAGAGAGCATAATTTACATTCTCACTATACTGAAATGCTAAATTCACAGGATACCTACTGTGCAGGTAAAGTGTGATTTATCTACTGTGCTAGTAATACTTTGTCCTCCACATGCTGCTATAATAAATAAAAATTTAATGTTTTTAATATAATTTTAATGGTTTGAAAATTAATTCAGGAAGCAAGGGGGTAAATAATGTATTATTTTTGGATGGAATTGTTGTCATAAATTTTCAAAGAGTCCTATAACCATGGTAAAGCAATGATACAATTTTTCCTCTCTGCAGTGTTAAAAAACCCGATCTGTAAGTTATATAGATTCCCTACTTCTGACAACAAGTGGATGCGGATTCGGGAACAGATGGCTGAGACCACTCTCTCTTTCCATGTTCCTAAAGAACTGATCAATCTGCACATAAAGGAGGACATGAGAAGGTAAGGAAGAAGAAGTAGCAATAGTAAATACTAAATTTTATTTTTCTGAGTTGGAATAATGTGGTGAGCTAAAAATATTAATTTGTACTATGAAATAGGCAAAATGTAGCAATCTTTTTGGCTTGTAAGAATTTACAGCTGTAACTGAACAACAGAATTGATTGCTCATGATTTTTAGAACTCCAGTGACTTTATAAGTTCTGAGCAATGAGCTGTGCTAGAGTGCAGTCATAACTTTAAATGTGTAAGCATCAGCATACAGTTAACAATATAAATATTCTGAAAAGTTACTATTTTATAAAGAAACAACACAGGGCAAAGTTGTGAACTACATTGTAATGTGTTTGGCTTTGTGTCTGGGCAGCGCTAATATCACAGACAAGCAATGGAAAATGACATGGTTGTCGTTAATAAAGGAGCAATGAGAATATAAATCACATTCCTCCTACTAATGTAAATTAGTTGGCATAAGAAAAGGATGCCAAAGTAATGTAAGTTTAAAACCTTTCTTTGTGTTTGGCCTTGTAACCAGGAGAGACACTGAGTATCATTACAATACGTATGGCCTGGGATAAAAGAGGATAGGGAGCACAGATGTCCCAAAATCCTTTGTATGTCCAAATTCCCACTGCAGCGACTAAAATGGCAGCCTCTCCTTGAATACGTGTAAGCTGTGCTGATACAACTGTGGAAAAATCAGTATTTTAAGCAGTCCGGGGCTCCCCTGAAAGCATACCTTCCTTTTCTAATGATAATGGATGGTGCAGTAGAAGACATTGCCTCTCACCCTGTGAAAGTTGCCTCACACATAGGTGGGCATCTGGTCTCATGTTTAAGAGTAACACTGTGAGCTAGTGCTGCATCCCAAAGCCATCCTGTGCACTTCCAGGCAACTCCCTCCATCAGAGAGGGTTGCTTACAGTGGTTGGTTGTCCTGCAGTAGGAGCTTCTTTTCTTTTTTATCCCCCCCATCTACTGCTTCTGTATGATCTTTTTATGCCAATAAACAGCATGTGGGAGACCAGAATCTTGCTTTTAATAAAGTCAATGGACTGACACATACTTATGCATGGTGATGATGGGTTATAAAAATCATATGAATTGTTATAATACTTTATTTTATTCATTTACTACTGCGTTTAGGCATTTATGGCCTGATCTTGTTTGAGAATACTAATGTGTGAGGGTTTTTTAGTAAGCAATAAAAATAGATTATGCTGACTTGCACAGTTCATCCTCTTCCCAGATTTTCATTTCCCCTGTGGGTAAATGCCTATTAAATGTTAGAGGATTACTTTAACCACTTTTACTACTACTATGTTATTTTCTCCAAGGACGTAATAGTGCTTGCTGTTATTTCATATTATAGCATTCACCTCTTCGGATAAAGTCGTAGTAAAGAATCACCATGGTTTGTTTTTTTTAATGATTATTCAAAACTCACCAAAATAAAGAAAAGCTTTGAGGAAGAAACAGAAATAAAAGTCGCTCAAAGATTGAGGCAAGTGGTTCTGATTTTCCTGACTGCCAATGTGGTTAGTTGCTCAATCCTAGTAGAAAGTGTGGGTGTGAGAAAAAGAGAGACAAAGTGGTTGTATCAATCTAAGGGAGGAGGTGAGACCGACCAAGAGTGTCAGGGACTTGTGGTAGGATACTAGCAGATGGTGGGAATAGGGGCAGCTGTGTCACCTATCATCTTGCAAGCGTGTAGGTTGGAGCTTCAGCTTCGTATGGGCTTTGCTTTTTGAAATAATTGCAAAGATGTGTACTCTTGTGGACTCCTTGCACTTGTAAACTAGGAGGATATTGTTATGTTAGTTCTTGAACTCGTACAAAACTTACACTGTATCATCTTGAGGCTATTCTCTTCTGAAGTATTCTTCTCTGCATCTTTTTTCCCCAGTTAGTATAAAAGAATAAGTATTTTTGTCTCAGAGGCCACTTCTTCTCATCCTCAGCCTGTTTCATTTTATTCCTGTTGTGGCTTCAATATAGTTAGGTCTGAAGCAGTTACCTCTAAAAAATAACCAAGTGAAGTGTTAATCCCATTCAGTATTGTATTTTAAATTGTAATTTAAATTACCTTTTCTCACAGCTCTTAAGATTGTTTATCTCTTGATGAAACTACAGTGTTCCTTGTTAACCAAACTTTTTCATTTACTGATGTGATACTCTGAAATATGTAATGTCTAAGGATGTTTAAATTTTTTTTTCAACATGAAATAATGTTTCTAAAGATATGCATGCATTAAAGATTTTATCCTTCAAACCTCCCTGGCAGAAGCTTTAATAGGAGCTGTGAGGTCATTTTTATTGTTCTAATAAGGGTCATAGAGTCTGCTTTGCTGGTTTTTATTAAGAAATTATTTCTGTTTCCTCTTCAAGGTTTTCCAATGAGTCCTTCCCCCTGTTTTTAATATTTCTTTACACAAATCTTGTCCAGATATTTTGCATCTATCATGCAAGATTAGCCAAGTAGTTCTTTGAACCTAATGATTATAAAAAAGACTTAGTAGCACTAGATCAGCCAGCAAGAGAATTAGGAGACTCTAGTAGAAGTCACAGTACACGTGTCTTTCAGATTTGCCATCAAAGCTCTATTGAGTTCCTTGGAACCAAACTTGGCTTTGTTTGGAAGGAAATTCCACCTACTTAGGGCTGAATTTGCCCCATGGCATTTGTGGTCACAACTCATAAACAAATTTCAAGGATAAATTGCTGAACTTTCCCAGAACCCTCTCTCCAGAGTACAAAGTACACTCAGGTTTTCCTCCTGCATCAGGACTGGCTGTCCTGTCCCAACTCCAGTAGCCTTTTCTTGTGCAAATCTATGCTGTTTGTGTGTTTTCTGATTTCTTTCTTGTAACATTACAGAACACGGACAAAGTTCAGACTGTCTGAAAGATATGTGTATTTCTACTACCTTTTAATACACAACTTCCATAAAGAAATGGAGACCCGGGCAGCAATGCCATCACATTTAGATGGGCACTGTTAATATGCTGTCCACCTAAAGGACTTTTAAAACATTACTTCAAGTAACTACTTAGCAAAAATGTTCAAAGTAGTAATGTTTTCGATGCTTAAAAAAATCCCCAAACATGTTAGTAAAATGTAGCTTAAATACATGCATATGCAGTATTTACCCCATTGTGCATCAAAAAGCATGTAAAACCTTTCTCTTCTCATTCTCCATCAGTTACTGCGTAGAGGAATACAAGTATGTGAATGTAAGTGTAACTTGAATTTTTGTGAGTAGTGTTTAGACAATTGCCCTCTGCAAACATGATCAGTTTAAAACCCACTAATTTTTAAAACAAAGGATAAAATATATCGTAATGTATGAACAGTACATAAGTCCATGTCCTCTTGATTTCACTGTTCGTAACTCATTTTGGAAAAGATGGCCTCTGTGAAAGTCTAAGAGGAGTTTTCATATCAGACTTAATGAAGTAAAATTTGCTGGGCTTTACTTTGGGTGTTTAAAGTTGTAGTGCATTGGAATGGAGTAACATTACCTGATATGTTTTGTGATAGCTACCTCTACATATCATTACCTATTATTCAGCAGTTCTGAAAACTATAAAATGGTACCTTACATTCTGACTGTCCTGTCAGAGAGGGGTTTTTTGTTGTTTTCTGCAAAATCCACCCAGGTTTTAAGACTCCAGAAGATCATTCTGTACCAGTCAGCGATGCTTCTCAGAGACTAGCTGGTAAAATTTCCAGATGTTATATTTGTGTACAGCATGCCCCGGTCTTAAAGAAGTCCATATTGAGCAGATTATATAACTTGTAGGTCTTACTAGAGCCTCCCACATTATAGTGAAGGACAATACAAAACCAAAAAAAAAAATTACAGCCTTTTTCTCAAGATTATAACTATTTTTATTATAGTTATCAAGATGATAACTATTTGACAGACTCAAATTCTGTCATCACAAAAAGCATTTGAATTTTTACGTCCTTAACTAGAGATTTTGCACTTGCCAGTACATATCTGTGGTTCTAATAGCACTGAGTTGGGTATAATTTTGTCAGTTCATGTCAGTGGGGGCACAGAGAATATAAATTAGAAGTGTTAAGGCATTAAGGTGATCAAAAAAGCTTTGTACAGTTTTATTATGTTGCTTATGTCATAAAGATCCACACTGTTTTATTTTGAATGAGGCACTCTGATTAGTAAATTGGGAAAAAAAGAAAACAGAAACCCCAAAAAATGTTTAAGTCCTTGATTAATCATGCAATTAATAGTGTGATTAATCTTGCAACATATATGATGGTGGTTCAGCCTGGAAAAGAGAAGGCTCCGGGGACACCTTATTGCAGCCTTCCAGAGGGCTTAGAAGAAAGATGGGGACAGACTTTTTAGCAGGGCCTCTTGTGATAGGACAAGGAGTAATGGTTTCAAACTAAAAGATGGCAGATTTAGACTAGATGCAAGGAAGAAGTTTTTCCCAGTGTGGGTGGTGAAACCCTGGCCCAGGTTGCCCAGAGAGGTGGTAGATGTCCCATCGCTGGAAACATTCCAGGTCAGACTGGACGGGGCTCTGAGCAACCTGATCTAGTTGAAGATGCCCCTGCTCACTGCAGAGGGGTGGGACTAGATGACCCTTAAAAGGTCCCTTCCAACCCAAAGATTCTATGATTCCAAGCTGAAACAAAGAAGTGAAGTTATAAATATAAACTATGAGAGTAAATTGTTTCTGTTTATGCCATAGAGCTGGAGCAACATTGTCTTAAGCCAATTCCAGTGTTTCTGATGAAACAGTAAAATTTGAAAAACCACCAGACAAAAAAACACCTAAAACAATTCTATACACCATTTCTAGTTACTAAAATTTAATTTAGGATTAAAGTGTAAATTCCACTGATGGATGCCATTCTGAGTATTACTGAATTTGAGACTCTCTGCAGTTGTGATACAAGAGAATTACGCTCTGCTATTAAATGTGAATCATAGAATTAACCTCAAATGATCATGCTGTTTGAAGATCTTG